ACAAGTGATGTGGTTATGTCATCAGCCATTACCTTTATTCTTCAAGTGGCAGAAAGAAGACCTAGGTCACTGGCAATTGGTCCTGATAATTGGAAAATAAAATGTGGCAAAGCGGATGTGGATTTGGGGAGGGATCCCACCTATTTGTGTTAGTCACAAACTACCACTATATGAAACGTGACATAATCAACTTATAAAGTTTGGTTTTGACTCATGGCTTTAGAGCTTTCAACCATGATTGGGTAGGCCCATTGTTTTTAGGATTCATACTGATGGGAATGTGTGCTCACAAGGAGCAAAAAAGAGGAACGGGCCAGGGTCTCACAATCTCCTTGTATGTGGGAACGTTGTGCACGTGCATGTGGATGCCAGAGATTGATGTTAGGTGTCTCCCTTGATTTAACTCTGATCCTCCTATCTCTACCACTCAGTACTGTGATTTCATTCATGGACCACCACGCCTAGCTCAAATGTCTTTAATTTTTTTGAGACAAGTTCTCACGTATCCCAGCTGGCACTGAACTCTCTGTGTAGCCCAAGATGACCTTGAACTTCTGATATTTCTGCCTCTACCTGTGGAGTGCTGGAATTATAGGCCTGTGTCCCCACGCCTAGGTTATGGGGTACTTGGGATCAAATCCAGGCTTCCTACATGCTAGGTAAGCACTGTAACCAGCTAAACTACATCCCTATCTCTTGGCTCAAATTTATTTTTCGTGTGTGTGTGTGTGTGTGTGTGCACGTGTGTACGTGTGTACGTGTGTGCAGGTGCATATGCATGTGTCAGAGGGTGCCTGTGGAGGCCCAAGGTTGACTTTAGGGTTCTTCTATCCCTCTCCACCTTATTCATTGAGGCAGGGTCTCTCCATTGAACCCAGAGCACACTGATAATGCTAATTTGGCTAGCTAGCTTGTTCTGTGGAATTCCCTGTCCCTGACTTCTGAGTGCTGGAATTACAAGTGGGATTCCATAACCCACTTGGCATTTGTGTAGGTTCTGGGAGTCCAAACTCCAGGTCTTTCCCTTCTGTGACAACCACTTTAATCACTGAGCCATCTCCTCCGCCCTCAATAGTATTTTTCTTAAGACACTTTTTTTACATTTATTTGTGTGTGTGTGTGTGTGTGTGTGCATCCCCTGGAACTCATGTGGAAATCAGAGCACACTGTGCCACCGTCAGTCCTTTCCTTCCACCATGTGGTCTTGGGGGTTGAACTCAGGTTGTCAGGCATGGTGGCAAGTGCCTCTACCTGATGAGCCATCTCACTAACCTGCCCTCACATTGCTCATTCGAACAAATCATCTGATGATGATGGTGAGAAGAATGAAGGATGGCTTTGGAAACTAGTGTTTTCATGAAAATGCAAACTCGGTGACATCTGCAGCAACAGCAGTGATGAGATTTCTCTGTGGAGTCTACCCTGAAGGAAGCTCCTGTTGGCTGTACAAAGAGGTGGGCTTCTGTGTTCAGTGCTGGCTGTGGGCCCAGCTTTGCATCGCTGCTCTCCTGCTCTACCCGCCCCATCCCTCCCACAGCAAGCACCCCCCTTCTGCTCTCTCCTGCTCCTTTCCAGCAAGAGCCTAAACAGCCTTTCTGCCTCTTCCACCTCACCCTTGATGTGTCCTGTGATTTTCTATCCAATAGAAGAAGGAGGGTGGAGTTTTACTTTCCTTGACAGCCAAACATCTACGGGCTTGCTCCAGGCTCCACCTCCCACACATCTACCACCTAGTGTGGACTCCACAGCTTTTCCTCAGATGCTGTTTTTCCATCCCAGGAGCTGACCTCGTTGTTCTAGGGTTGGAACCATCATTTAAGACAATACTTGCCAGTTAGGAGTTGATGGCAGTTTTGCGTTTGTGGCTAGAGGAGTCAGCTTGTCCCATTGTCCTTTGTCACGAAGATGATTTTAATAGCCACCTTCCTCCCCTTTGAGTCTGAACATGGCTGAAAGCACAGAAGTGTGCCTGGTATGGCACACATGAACACAGCCTGGAGAGTCACTGGTTTAGTTGCTGTTGTTTATGGGAAGTGCCAGGACATGGCTCTGCTTCCTGCTCTGGCAGAATAGCATGACATTTGGCTCCATCAAGCCCCTATCATAGGTTGCCACACAAACATTGCCTGTCTGGTGCTGTCACTTCCCGGCAGTGAACAATGACTCCACATTGCCGCAGAATGCTCTCACACCGACCCTCTTGTGGCAGCTGAATCAGTCTTCGAAAAGCAAATGTACAGCTGGAGTCATTCTTTGGGAGACACAGGCAGGAACAAAGCCAGCATAGCTTATCTGAACACCAAACACGGCCCTAGGCCCTAGAAGCATCACTGCACTGTTCTGACAGCGGTGGAACTGGCCCCCTCCCTACTCACAACTACTTGTCACAACCATACAGGTGCCTTCCTGTCCTTTCTGCATCCAACACCATGAAGTGGGGAAGGTGGCAGCAGTGACTTTTTTTTTTTTTTTTTTTGGTCTTTTTGAGACAGGGTCTCCCTGTAGCTCCAGCTGGCCTGGAACTCACTTTGTAGACCTGGCTGGCCTTGAACTCAGAGATCCGTCTGCCTCTGCCTCTCCAGTGCTGGGACTAAAGGCATGTGCCACCATGCCTGGAACAGAGACTTTTTTTTTACCAAGCACTGACTGGCTTCGCACCATGGCACTGTCCACTGGATATGACCACATCATCTCAGCAAACAAGCTAAGCAGCTATCTTTCTAGTTTTTTTCCCCCCTCACTATATTAGTGTGTTCTTGGTCACCCACCTACCTCCAAGGAGCCTCAATTTCCCCCATTATTAAAATGAATTTAATAGAGACCAATCTGAGGAGATTTCTATATCCTCAAGATAGACTGTCCTGGGGCTGGAGACATAGCTGATTGGTTAAGAGCACTGTCTGCTCTTGCAGAGGACTGGGTTTTGATTCCTAGCACCCACATGGTTGCTAACAACAGTCCATAACTCCAGTTCCGGGGGAATCCAACACCCTCTTCTGATCTTTGAGAGCTATGCACGATACAGGTGCACTTACATACATGCAGACAATACACCCAGACACATTAAAAATAAAAATAATAAAACAGTTTTTAAAAGTCTATCGTTTGTTAGAACAAAATGTTTCTTCAGATGCACATTAGGAACACCTAGTAATCACTCTAATAGCCAACTAATATTTATTTATATCTACTGTGTATTTCACACTGCAAGGAGATCATTGTGATGGTGTAGCAGATTATAGGTTACTCAGAAATTTTTTTGAAAGTTATTAACAATAGCTATTTCACATTTTAAATGACAAATGCTTGTACATTACTTGGGATATTATGAAAAATAGGAATTTAAATATAACAGAGGGATAAAAAGTGAACTCCATCCACACATTAGGTTTGGGAAGGACTAGCTAGAACAAATGATGTGGACTTAGGGGAGCATGGTGGCACACCCCCTTTAATCCCAGCCCGAGGGAGGCAGAGGCAGGCAGATCTCTATTATATGGAGGCCAGCCTGGTCTACATAGCAAGTTCCAGGTCAGCTGGGGCTAAAGGAAGACTGTCTCAAAACAAAAATGATGTGTACTTTCCTTTTAGAAGGAAATCCTTCTGGAACCTTCTAGCTTTCGAAGTGTTATCCTGACAGGGAAATGTTACATAAATCTAAACTGACCATTACATTGATTACTTGTAGAGGAGAAAGACGCCAGGCTCTCGAAATGACCATTTCTGATTCTCACAAAGTAGAATAATAAATAAGCTGTTAGGGTCACACACTCTAGAGTACTTGCTCAGGAGCACTGAGGATGGAGTAGTGAAGGATCTAGGTCACGTGCTTCCCAATTTGTCCTGCTTACATATTGATGAGACACCTATATGCTTCCATGTCACCACACCGCAACACCCCTGAATAAAATGCTGCTCCTAGGCACAATACGCTTGGTAAATTTTTTTGCTTACTGGCATCTTCATGGAGGCTCTCCCTCCCTTCCTGTGTGTAATAAAAAACAATAGAATCTATAATTTCACAGGCCTCAGAATTCTATTTTCGTTCCCTTGCACACTTATCAGATTTCAGAATTTTGTATTGCTTCCCCCCACCCCTCAGTGATTCATCCGTCCTGCATCTTAACAGTAGAGAATAAGGTTCTGTGCGCCAGTGCATCTGCGTGCAGGAGCCGAGGTTATCTCCAGACAACCCTTTCAGCTTCACACCAGCAGGTTTTAAAATTGCTCAGTATTTTAGAAACACCATCATCTCAGCATATTAAATATTAAAGAACTCCCTCCGCGCCAGAGCCTTAAAGTTACGCTCTGCAAAATCCGTACGAGCGTTTCCATGGTGCAGAACGAAAGTTACGGCAGGGTTTTTCGGGAGCAGCACGACTATAAACGTCACTCCCGCAGGGCCTTGCACAAGGGCCCATTTGCTGTGAAATATTTTGAAAACAAAGCTGGAGCGGGGACAACGCAGAGCGCCAAACAGGCAGAAACAGGCACCAGCCGAACGCGGTGGCAGGAGAGGATGAAGGCTTCTGGAAACCGCAGCTAGGGGGAACCATGGCAACCGAGAGCGGAACCCGGGGGCCGTGCCCTTGGTCCCCCGAGTTGGGAGACCCCGGAGGGCGAAAGCAGCGACCTCCAGAAAGACAGCTCCCTTCAGCTTCCCAGACCAAAAACTAGACGGAGAGCGCCAGCCCGCGGCACAAGCCTGACTACCGTTTAGCCTTATCTCACCGCCAGCGCGCCCCAGCCGCTCCCAGAGCCGCCCTTTATAGCCAGTCCCCCGAGTCCCGCCCTAGCAACCACCCCTAGCAACGCCTCGCCCTCGTGCTTTGCGGTCTTATTGCCCTCTGGCAAGCCTTTCCGGTCCCTTCCCCCGCGCTAGTTTCTCGCTACCGTCAGGCCACGTGACAGGCCTCCGGCGAGGGGCGGGGCGCAGCCGGGAGAGGCCTGGCGTCATCATACTGCGACGCGATGCTGGCGGCGCCTAGTGTTTGTCGCGATCTGGAGGCTTGACCAGCAAGCAAGATGGCCGAGCCTGGAGTGCTGGCGTGGCTTCGCGGTCCGGGAACCCGGTGCAAGGCGCTGCCGTGCGCCTCGGCGAGGTGCTCGGTGCGGGACGTTATCTCTCGACACTGTCAAAACCAGGTGAGCACTGCGGTTTCGGGAAAGAGGGGGAAAGATACAGGCCAGGCCAGGCTGTGTGCTGGCGGGCAGGGGGGTTGAGATCGAGTTTTCTCTAAGTTTTCAGATGCTTCAAAGTCATTCAGACCATCTTTGCTGTTGTCTTGCTGCGGTAGTTGTTCCCGTCTCTCCATCGAAAGAGAAATGACAGTTACGGGAGCTAGTCCTGCCTTGAGTTAGAAAGGCTGAGATTGGTTGTTTAGCCCTACATGATGTCTTTGATTATGATGTCCTTACATTCATATTATGGTCAGGGTTATGCATTTTTGTCCACTGATCACAAAACCCTGCTTAGTTTCAACCTACAGAAGTAGGTCTTAGCCAAACCCAGGCCAAAGGACAGTTAGAGACGGTCGTGGATTCCAGTGATTACTGGATTTGTCTGGTCGTTGGTCAGGGCCAACCACTCACAGGTAACGTCATAGGTTCTTGGACCTGTTATTTAGATACTTTCACTAATCTTTTGTTCTAGCTATGTGTATTTATGAAAACCTGTCAAGGACTTTGAAAGTCGTGTGCCTTTTTTTTTTTTTTTTTTTTTCCCGAGACTGGGTCTCCCTGTAGAGAGAGAAGACTGCAGGTTCTCCATGCTGTGATGTAGGTCGCAGTAGGAAACTTGCACATGAAACGCATCATGTGGAAGATTGACTACTCTAGTCATATTAAACTCAACAAATGCTAATTGAACCCACTGTCTATTTGTAACTAGAGTAATAAACGTATTAATAAAAGCTAGGCCCCTAATAGTAAGAAACTCACAGTGGGGCTGGAGAGGTGGCCCAGTAGTTAAGAACATTGGCTGATCTTGCAGAAGACCCAGGTTCGAATCCCAGCACCCACATGGCAGCTAACAACTGTCCGTAACTCCAGTTCCAGGGGATTGGACAGCCTCTTCTGTCTTCCATGGGCATTGCACGACACGGGTGCACTTACATGCAGGCATAACACTCATACACATAAAAAATTAAAATAATAAATAAAATATTTTAAAAAACAGTGTTTCATGAAAGGCATTAAAAATTATATAAACACACATGTGTATATCATTGAAAAAAAATCTTGCATTTGTCTCTAGGAAATTCCTGTGGATTGTTTCTTTGTGAAATGCAATGGAGTCCTCATTGGCACCAATGACACAGTGCAGCATGGAGCTGTTTACAGTTTGGAGCCAAGACTTCATGGTGGGAAAGGAGGTAGGACAGGAATGTCAATGGCTTATTGTGACATGGCTCAGGTATGGAGGTCAGAGGTTAAATTTAAGGAGTCAGTTCTGTCTTTCCTGTGTGAGTTCTAGGAATCTAACTTGGGTCATCAGGCTTATACAACAAGAGCTTTTATCTGCTGAGCCATCTCAGTGGCCCCAGTTGATTTTTAAACACAAAGTAGGTATAGATGCTACTGGTAGCTAGTTTGGTTATAGCAAACTTGTACTTGAAGGGGAAGACTAAGATTTCCTACAGTGAGCCACCTTATAAATGAATATCACATACTTCTAATTTTGTATGTGTAGTGTATATATGTATGTGTTCCGTGGGTGAGTGCATGTGGAGGGCAGAGGTCGATGTGGCAGCTTCTTCAGTTGCTGTTCAGCATGTTTTTGAGGGTTTCTTACTGGGCCTGAAGCTCATCAGTTCAGTTAGGCTGGTCAGCTAATGAACCTCAGGGCTCTTCCTCTTTAGTTGCTGGGTGACAGACATGCATCCCTGTGCCCAGGTGTTTTGTGGGTGTTGAGGAGACTCGGTTCCTTGTGCTTGCACAGCAGGCACTTCACCAACTCAGCTGCCTCCCCAGAATCTAGGAATCTTGGGTTAAATCTTTTGCCTTTGTTGCCTGATGAAAACCTTGATATCCATCTCCTTACAATAAAGAGAGAATGGAAGAAAAAGAATGTGGAGTTCATCTTCAGTCTTGTAACGTGAACTGTTGTCACAAACTGGCCTTGCATCCATCCTTGGCATCCTTACTCCACTTAATCCAAATCTATTGGTTTCAGGTTTTGGGTCTATGCTTCGAGCTCTAGGTGCTCAGATTGAGAAGACAACCAACCGAGAAGCCTGCCGGGATCTCAGTGGAAGGAGACTACGGGATGTCAATCATGAAAAAGCGTAAGATACCTACTTTGTAGTCATTTTTTGTTTGTTGTTTTGTTTTTAAGAAAACAAATTGTCCTCTCAATAGTGGGCTATACACTATGCATATTGGAAATATAAGCTTAAAATATTTCCACTCTAGCTGAGTATAGTTGCTCCTGATCTTAATCCTAGCACTTAGGAGGCAGAGGCATGCAGATCTCTGTGAGATCCTGGCCAGCCAGAGCTATATAGTAAGACTCTGTCTCAAAAAAAAAAACTTATTTTTTTTGCGGGGAGGGGTGGGTATCTTTTTTGAGACAGGGTCTCTCTGTAGCCCCAGTTGGCTTGGAACTCATGATGTAGACCAGGCTGGCCTTGAACTTACAGAGATCCACCTGCCTCTACCTCCCAAGTGCTAGAACTAAAGGCGAGCGCCACCACACCTGGTTTTTTTTTCTCACTCTTATTATGGGATTTAACTTTTACCGAATTTTAATAATGCTTAGTTTGTCTATTGTAATATGGTGACATTAACTATGTCACACCTTTCTGGGAAAATACTACAGTATGAGTAGGAGTTTATTGTCTAGGAAGCGTTTTCTGTATAGTGGTGAATGCATAGGGGAGAGTTCTAGGAAATACCTTGTTAACTGAGTTTCTTATGTGAGCATCGAAGAGGGTGTGCAGAGAAGCCTAGGTGATAGAGTTGATCGGATTGGGAACTTCGATATTTATGCAGGTGCCCACTTGTGAAACATGGCATAGTTTCACAGTAAACACTTTTATAAGTAGTGGCATGCTTAAAACAACAGTTGAGTAACAGGGCGCAGCTCAGTGGTGGAGCACTTGCTGAAGGTGCTGGGTTTGAACCCTACAACCACGATGCCTCTCCCAGTAGTATAGTAGCTCTATTATCAAGTTTATTATGTCGTGTACAAAATTGCTCTGTGCTTTTATGCTACTGGTAGCCATTGTAGTTAGGGTGTGTGTGTGTGTGTGTGTGTGTGTGTGTGTGTGTGTGTGAGTGATACATCTGGGACCACCTTCATACCTGTGGTTTGTCACTGATCTGAATGCTGTATGACACAGGACTGTAGGTAGGAGCCTGTGTACACTACTGTATCCATCTGTTACATCCCCCCTTTCCCCTTCCCCAGAATGGCTGAGTGGGTAAAACAGCAAGCTGAGCGAGAGGCTGAAAAGGAGCAGAAGCGCCTGGAGCGACTGCAGCGCAAGCTTGCAGAACCGAAGCCCTGTTTCACTAGCCCTGACTACCAGAGGCAGTGCCATGAAATGGCTGAGCGTCTGGAAGATTCTGTCCTCAAAGGTGAGAATGTGGATTCTTCAGTGTGCTCTTCAGACACCCTTGAAGCCATCAGCTTCAGACCGATCCAGGGCATAGAAGAGTGACTCTTCAGCACTTTGAGGGAGGCCGATGACACTTTAGAACCTCTCCCCTTAAAAATAAACACAGGATGTTTTATCACATGTTGACACCCCCCCACCCACCCACACACTCAACAAAACATGTAGGCAACATTTGACATGTTTAGCCCTTCAATTTCATAGGCCCATGGGCCCCAGGTATGAATACCTATTCTCATTTTCTGCAAGGATAGGGTAAGTCTTAAGAGTTGTGTGTACCTCAGTATATTCTTAAAGCACTGTAATCTTAGGACCACATAAAATTTTGGTATGAAGAAATTAAACCCAGTGGATGAGGAACAACCAAAACTAAACATTTATGAAAATGCCATAAGGAAACCTGTTACATTATATGCTATTTTAAATTTTTTGGAAAAAAATTTTTTTGTGTGTATGAGTGCATGTATGTAAATGCTTACATGTATATAAATGTACCCATGTCGTGCAGTGCCCCTAGAGGTCAAAAGAGAGTGTCAAATTCCCCTTGAATGAGTTTACAAATGGTTGTTAGATAGATAGAGGCTGGAGAGATGGCTCAGTGGCTAAGAGCACTGGCTGTTCTTGGAGAGGACTTTGGTTCTGTTCCCAGCATCCATATAGGGGCTAACAGAGGTCCTTAACTCCAGTTCTAGGGGATCCTACACCCTCTTCTGGTCTCCACAGGCATTGTACCTACAGATGTAGTTACATACATGCAGTCAAAACAGCCACATAAAATAAAAATAAATAATAAAATTTGTAATTAGGTATGCAGGCTGCCTCCAGCAAGACGGTATCAGCAGAAATCAGTGAGACTCGGAAAAGGCCTAACAAATCAAAACCAGACCATGGAGCCAGCACAAAGAGAAGGAAATGTTTTTGGTGAGTACTTTCCATCTTCATTCCAAATCAGTTTTTGTGGACCTAATGATATGTTTCCATCTTGTCTGTTTGCACAAGCATCTTTTCTCCTTCCCATTCCCCTCCTTGATTTTCTCCTTGAGATAGGGTTTTGCTCCATGTGCCAGGCTGCCTTTGATCTTGGGATACTGCACCAGGCTCCTCTGCTTAGATCACAGATAATTGACTTGGGCCGCCATGCCTGTGGCTTGCACAAGCACATTTTAAGTAGTGTGAGCTGGGAGCTCAGAATTTCGAGTGCGTCAATCTTCAGGTTTTGTTGATTGACACATTGTACACACCAGTGCTGCCTGTGTACTAAATTAATTTGTATATGTGTTTATGTGTATGTACATGGCATGTGTGTGGAAGTTGGTGTTGCTGTCTTCCTCCCTTGCTTGCCATCTGTTTCTTTTTAAATTTCTATTTTTTGCTGGGCATGGTGATGCACACCTTTAATCCCAGAGGCAGGCAGATCTCTGTGAGTTCAAGGCCAGCCTGGTCTACATAGCGAGTTCCAGGACAGCTGGGGCTACAGGGAGACCCTGTCTCAAAAAGACCGAAAAAAAAAAAAAATTCCATATTTTGATTTATTTATTTTATTGTGTATGAGTGTTTTGCTGCATGTGCGTAAGTGCACCTGAGCACTGGAAGTGCCTGCGGATCGTTTTCTGGCTCTCTGGTTGCCAGCTCCAGTCCTTTGGGACAAGTTTTAGAAAATGGTATGTGCCAGTGAGTCTTGTTCCCGTGTTGGTCTTCCCTTTGGGGATAGAAAGATAATTAACCAAAGACCATGTAGCTCTAGAATTCGACAGAGAATTGTGTGTTTGTTCTGAAATGGGAATTATATTTCCTTAAGAGAAAAAGTACTAAGTATTACCTGTATTTTTTTTTTTTTAAGCTTGAGGAAAAATTTATTAGAGTTCAAAAGAAAAGGTCAGACAACTGTAAATCTCTGCAGCTGCTGGAGGATGAAGATGGGGAAGAGAGAAAAAGGCATGCTGTTTGAGTTAAGTGGTGGAGGTGACTACATGGCAGGGACAGGAGCCTTCGAAAAAGTGAAAAAATCCGAAGCACCAGAGGAAGCAGTTTAGGCTTGACCAGGGTCCGAAAGAAAAAGAAGAAAAAAGGAAGCTTGTTTTTTAAAATAGTTTCTACGTTTATTAGATTTATTGTGTGTATTTGGGCCTAAGCTTATGGAGGTCGGGACAATTTGTGAGAGTTTTTTCCTTTAACCGTGTTGATCCTGGGGTTTGAACTTAGGTTGTTATGTTTGGTGGCAAGTGTCTACCTGCTGAGCAATCTTACTGGCCTCTGTATTTTTTTTTTTTAAGTCAGATTTATTGAGGTATAATTTATATATAGTAAAAATTTGCCCTTTTTGGTTCATCAGTTCTGTGAGTTTTGAAAAATACAGTCATGTAACTACTGGTACAGTCAAGATAGAAAGATTCCTTATGGGCAGTAGTTCCCGTGAGCCCTCAGCTATGTCCCTTCCTCCAGTCCTGTGTTCTGGGAATCTCTTAGACCATGTGATGCTTGTTCCTCTGGGTTAGCTTTCCCAGTGTGTCATAGCACCTTTAGGACCTGACTGCTTTTGCCCAATGTTTGCTTTTTATTTATTTTTATTTTATGTGTCTCAGTGTTTTGCCTCCATGTATGTAAGTGCATGCCTACAGATGCCAGAATAGGGTGTTGGATCCACTGGAACTGGAGTTAACATATGGTTGTTAGCTACCATATGGGTGCTGGGAATCCAAACTGGGCTCTCTGCAAGAGCAGCCAGTGCTCTCTCAACTGCAGAGTCATTTCTCCAACCCATTATGCTTTTTTTTTTTTTTCTTTTTTTAATGGAGATCGTGGTTTTTTGTTTTTTTTTTTTGAGACAGGGTCTCCCAGTAGCCCCAGCTGGCCTGGAACTCACTATGTAGACCAGGCTGGCCTTGAACTCACAGAGAACCGCCTGCCTCTGCCTCCCAAACGCTGGGATTAAAGGCATGCGCCACCATGCCCAGCTAATGGAGATCTTTTTAAAAATATTTTTTTTATTTTTATTAGTATATGCTTGCATGTATGTGAGTGCACCTTTGTCATGCAATGCCGAGGTCAGAAGAGGGCTTCAGATTCCCCTGGAACTAACTGGAGTTAAGGACGGTTGGTAGCTGCCATGTGGGTGCTGGGAATTGAGCCTGGGTCCTCTGTAAGAAAGTGAGTGCTCTTAACCACTGAGCCATCTCTCCAGCCCCCCATTATGCTTTTTAAGATGCATCCATGGTTTTTTTTTTTTTTTTTTTTTTTTTTTGATCATCCTTCCTCTACCTTCCAAGTGCTAGAATTACAGGCAGGCACTGACCACCACACTGAACTCTTTAATTACTTTTGATTTCCAAGTTGCATGGATGTTCCAATTTGTCCATTCTCCATAACAAATTGAGGACTTTGTAGTTAGGGCGGGTATATAAAGTGTAGCGTTTCCTCTACTTTCTTCCCCCTTTCTTTCTTCCCCTCTCTCATTCTTTGATTTGTTCTTTGAATCTCATTCTGTAGCCCACACTGGGCTCAAATTTGCAGTGATCCTATGGCCTCAGCTTCCTAGAGTATTGGGATTACTACGCGTGCGCGTGCCTGCTCCCATACTGGAGTTTGAACTTAGGGCCTCACATGTGGTCAACAAGCACTTTACCACTGAACTACACCCCTGGTCCTGAAGATTTTCTTTCTAGCTTTATTTTGGTCTCTAATTGCCAACAGTTGGAATTAATACAGGACTTGAAAGTATCAAGCAAAATCAATTTTAAGAGATTCACAACTTTTAAAAAAAAGTTCTAGCAAAATAAGAGAGCATGCATGCAAGGGAGCATGTGAGTGTATGTCCAGCAGGAGAGGCTAGAGAGCCAGCGCAAGCACATTGTACGCCTGCTGGATCTTTGGAATGGTGGGCTGTGATCTCTTCTGTTTATACATCTGGAATATTTTCCTGATATTTTCCTACTTGCCATCTCAAGCTAGCACATGCTTTGATTATTCAGACAGAAACTCTTCTGGACAGTTCACAACCCAGATAGAAGCAGTTCTAAGTGGTGTCAGACCTTTCTGTTGCTTCCCACAGGCTGGGCATGGAAGGATTGGAGGCTGCCTCAGAATCCAACTCTGGAAGCTCTGATGATGAGAATGAAGAAGCTCCTGGTACTTCAGGACTGAGCTGCTGTGCTCCAGAAAGTGGCAGGGATGACATGGAGGTGGCAGTTGGCTGTCCTCGAAGTCCTCGGGGTACAGGAGAATTGAGCACAGATTCTGAATCAACCCCAAAATCTCAGAATTCTGAGGCTGACCCTGGGCAGTGTATTTTCGAGGACACATGTGCTGAGCTGGGAGAGACATCTACGAAGGATCGGAGTGAGGGGAAGATGATCATAGAAACAGAGGAGCCTCTTGGGAGAAGGGAGACAGAGAATCCTGAGGCTATAGAAAAGGACACAGTTGGTGCTGGCTTGAAGGACCAAGAGACAGAAGAAATGAGTGAAGGCCACAAAACTACCATGGTAGCTTCTGGAAATGATGGGAAAAACATTCCTGTTACCAAACCAGAGGGAAGCTCTTTCGGAGACATGGTGTGTTGAGGTTTCGTTTTTGTTTGTTACTGGGTCTTGTTATGTAGCTCTGGCTGACCTGGAACTTGCTGTGTAGATCAGGCTGGCCTCAAACTGGAGATGATCCTTTTACCTCTGTTTCATGAGTGCTGAGATTACAGGCATTTGGTATAAGATCTTTTTTTTTTTCTTTTGGTCTTTTTGAGACATGATCTCCCTATAGTCCCAGCGAGCACAGCACTTACTATGTAGACCAGGCTGGCCTCAATCTCACAGAAATCTGCCTGACTCTGTCTCTCAAGTGCTGGGAAAGGTGTGGGCCACCATGTCCAGCTAAAACCTGTCCTTTTTAATTTTAATTTTGAGACAGAGTCTTACTTCTGTCTGCCAAGCTGGTCTAGAACTCAATGTGGAGTTCAGGCAGGCCTTGAAGTCAGGGCAATCCTCCTGTCTCAGCCTTCCAGGTACTGGAATTTTAGAAGTAAGCCACTCTTGTCATTAAATTAAACTCTTTAAAAAAGCCGGGTGTGGTGGTACATGCCTTTAATCCCAGCACTTGGGAGGATCTCTGTGAGTTCAAGGCCAGCCTGGTCTACATAGTTCCAGGACACCTGGGGCTACAGGGAGACCCTGTCTCAAAAAGACCAAAAAAAAACTTTTTTAAAAAAGTCGTTTTCAAGATGGGCTTGGTGGCATACACACTTTTAATCCCAACACTCAGGAGGTGAAGGGAGGAGGATCAAAAGTTCAAGATCATCCTTGGTTCCATATGAAGTTAAAGGCCAGCCTGGGGTACGTGAGACCCTTTTCCCCCCAAATTCATTTTATTATACATGTTTTCCCATAAATAATTGATTATTCCCTATCTTCAGTGGAATGAATTCCATCAAAAATCTATAATGTTTACTCAGAGCTAATGGTCTGCTATTTAGAATAGGTGAAACTTAAACTCGGGTATCAGGACCTTCTCTACTCCCAGTAAACAAGCAATGATGTATGATTGCTCTTTTCTAGGGAGGGACACTGGAGTCTTTCCTGCTAAGGACTAATTTGATCTCACACCATCTCTAGTGTTTTAGGCCTTTGTTTTTTTTTCTTTTGAGATATTCCCCCCTGTATAGCTGGCTTCAAACTCTTAATCCTCTTGCCTCAGATTTCCAAGTACTGAGATTGAAAGCCATGTGTGCCGGGCATGGTGGCACACGCCTTTAATCCCAGCACTTGGAAGGTAGAGGCAGGTGGATCTTTGTGAGTTCAAGGCCAGCCTTGTCTACATAGTGCATTCCAGGACAGCTGGGGCTACAAGGAGACCCTGTTTCAAAAAAAAAAAAAAAAAAAAAGCCATGTGCTACTATGCCAAGTTTAGACATATAATTTTTATGTTGCATGTATTCATGAGTTGTTTTATGCTGATTCTAGCCTTAGAAAAATGAATAACAAATTAAACAAAACAAGCTCGGTGGCACACACACTCAGGAGGCAGAGGCAGCTGAATCTCTGAGAGATCGAGGCCTGGTCTCCATAGTGAGTTCAGGCCAACTGGAGCTATAAGGAGACCCTGTCTTGAGAAAAAAAAAAAGTTTGAAGCTGGGAGTGGTGGCACACGTCTGTAATATCCTATCATTTGGGAGGCTGAGGCAGGAGTATTGCTCTAAGTTCAAAGCCTGGATTACATAGTGAAGCTGTCTCAAAAAGCCAAAAATAGATTTAGTTATGGTGGTGCACATCTGTAATGCCAGCCCTTGGGCAGAGACAGGAGGATCAGGAGTGCTGCATAAGCAAGTACAAGCTAGATTTGACTGTATGAGACCCCATCTTGGAAGAAAAAACATCTGTTGAGGTGTTCTGTCCTTGTCCCCTGCCTTAAATGTTTGAGTATATAGATGGTTGGCTTATGTGCATTGAAAATGCATGTGGGTGGGATCTAGATGGCGGTTCAGTAGCAAGGGGAGGGCATAGTAAACAACAGTTCCTTGAAAAATGGAAGGCAGTTGGCAATTAGAGTCTTCATTCAAGAGGTAGGGGCTCTTTTTAAATACTTCGCTTTTTCCCTCAGGCTCTCCATCAGGAAGCTCTGGATTTGTTAGCTTTCAGTTCCTCGGCAGAGCTGGAGTTGCTGGGTTTGGAGAGGCTCAAGTGTGAACTGATGGCCCTTGGACTGAAGTGTGGGGGCACCCTGCAGGAACGTGCAGCCAGACTCTTCTCTGTCAGAGGCCTGGCAAAGGAACACATCGACCCAGCTTTATTTGCCAAGCCTTCGAAAGGGAAGAAGAAATGAATCTCATCTGAGCTCTTTCTTTCCTACCACTGACTCCTGCCTGATGTGGACTCGTGGCCAATATTCCTGTTGATATTAAAAGCCAGTTTTAAAATAACTTAGGTCTAACTAATCTCTTTTTCATTGTTATATTTATAGAATTATGTGTGAAACTTTCTAGGCTTAAAGCTTTCTATTTCTTTTTGGTGTTTTTGAGGCCAGACTGGTCTGGAACTTCCTATGTCATTCAGGCTGGTCTCAATCCTCCTGTCTCAGCCTCCCTAGTGTTGAGATTACAAGTATAAGCCATCCTATTTTCTTTGACAGAAAATTTTCTGGTAGTAAATTTAATTTTTTTGGCTTATTTTGTACCACTTAGGTAAAGTTTCTTAAGGAATTTTTTCATGAAACCCAAAGCTGTCAGGTTCGTAGATAGAATTATTCATAATTATGGTGATAACTTTTTTCTAATACTAGTAATTGTGTGTGTGTGTGTGTGTGTGTGTGGTGCAGGGATTGAATCTAGGGTTTTATGTATGCCAAGCAAGTACTCTGCTACTGAGCCACACTGGTAATTTTTATTCTCTTTCCTGTTAATATAGCTGAGGGTCAGTCATTATTTTGTTGGTCTATTTTTTGAAGAATCAGATTTGGGCTTTGTTAATTTTACTCAAGTTTTCAGTTTACTGATTTTGGCTCTTTATCACTTCCTCTTCTTCTTGGGTTTACTTTGCCCATTTTCCTTTAGTTCCTTAAGTCTTAGATTGCTGGATCATAGATTTTTTTTTTTTTTAAATGTATTGTCCAATTAGCAAATATTTGTTTTCTCTAAATAACTTACTGATACCTACTTCAATTCTGTACCAGTCAGAAAATGCTCTGCAGGCTTATGACCCACATAAAGCCTGTTGTGATTGTGCCAAGTACTATTGAAAAAAATAGAGACTCAGAATTGGTGGGGGAGTATGTTCTAGAATACGCATCACATTATGTGGTTGATAGAGTTGTTCACATGTTCTGTCTGGGGCTGGAGAGATGGCTCAGCGGTTAACAAAGAACGCTCACTGTTCTTGCAGAAGACCTGGATTCGAATCGCAGCACCCACATGGCAGCTAACAACTGTCCATAATTCCAGTTCCAGTGGGTTAGACGGCCTCCTCGGGCATTGCACGACATGGGTGCACTTACCTACATGCAGGCAATACATGCATACTCATAAAATAAAAATAATAAAATATTTTAAACAAACAAAAAAAAACCCCAAAAATGTTGTCTTTACTGTTTTGTTTCGGTAAGGTGTGAAGAGAGGATATTAAAATCTCAATTGTGGGGTTCTCTCTTTTGACACAATTTTATTAGCTTTTGTGAAATTTTTGTTTGTTTTTGCGACAGGGTCTCCCTGTAGCCCCAGCTGGCCTGGAACTCACTATGTAGACTTGGCTGGCCTTGATCTCTGCCTAGAGAGTGCTGGTGTTAAACCCGTGCGCCATCACACCCAGCTTTAAATTGTTGATTATACGTTGATTCAGTGATCTTATGTGCACATAAGCTTCTCCATTACCTGATACTACCTGGCTGTAGTTCTTTTCTTCTCTTTTAGAGTATCTTATTTCATTGACAGTTTCGTGCACATATGCCGTTATCTTGATCATGCCCACTCCTGCTCCTCTCTGTACTTCCATCAATTTTTGCTGTGGGTTTTGAAGCTCTGTATTAGGTTGGGCTCTAGTTTATTGAACAGTTTATCATGAACTTTCCCTCTTTTCTTGTAATAGTGTTCTGTTCAAATGTATGTCATCAGAAGTGAACTGCCACCGCTCCAGCCTTTTTGACTTGTCTCCACAGAAACTGGTTTTCTGTGTATGTTTCTACCTCTTCATCTTTCTATTTAAAGTGGGGTTCTTACAGCAGATATTTTGATCTTGTATTTTTACACTGTTCTGTCTCACGGTCTTCAGGTCCTTGTTAATTAATGGTGGTTCACATGATTTCTTTTCATATAATGTGTCTCTTGGGGCTGCTTTTAGGTGCCTAGATGAGGCTTACTATGTTTTTACCTTGGTGTTTGGGGAACTTCATAGCTTTGTAAATGTATGCTGTTAAATTTGGAAAAAAAATCCAAAAAAAAAATTGGAAAAAATTAAGCGTTTGTTTCCTTAGATAATTTTTTTCTGTCCTTCATTTTCTTCCTCTCCTTCTGGGAGTTAAATTACAAATATGTGACTATGCCTCCCTTAAGTTTGTGGACCAAGTTTGTTGTCGTCCCCCTACTCCCACCTGAACATTTCTGTCTCTACGTGTCTTTTTCTGATAGAGCCAAGCTGCTGATGAAGTCGCCATGCCGAAGCTGTCAGAGGGATCTGGCATTTTGCCTGAGCAGTTGGCCTCAGTGTCCCCACAGTGCTTACAAGAAGAGTCTCCAGAAAACGTGGCCTGGGTGAGAATCTGTGGCTCCAGAGGGCTGCCCAGACACCATCACTCGGTTTTACGTCACAGCAAGTGACCAAGAGCACTTTTCTTGGCTATCACCATATATTTTTCTGTTACTTAGGATTGTTTTTCTAGTGTGGGTATGAACACTGTTTTCATACCACGTGGGTACTAGTCTATTCAAAAGCTGGAGAGATGGCTCAGCTGTTAAGAGCACTGATTGCTCTTGCAGATGACCTGGGTTCAAGTCCCAGCACCCACGTGGTGGCTAACAACCGTCTGTAACTCCCAGTTCCAGGGGATCTGATGCCCTCTTCTGACCTCCGTGGGCATTGCATGACACGGGTGCACCTACCTGCATGCAAGCAATACACTCGTTAAATAAAAATAAATTAATTTTTTTTAAAAAAAGGGGTATTCAAGCTGGGCATGGTGGCACACACCTTTAATCCCAGCACTCGGGAGGCAGAGGCAGGCGGATCTCTGGGAGTTCGAGGCCAGCCTGGTCTCCATAGTGAATCCAGGCCAGCTGGGGCTAGAGGGAGACCCTGTTTCAAAAAGACCCCCCCAAAAAAAAGGGATATTCAAAAGGGCCAGGTGTGGTGACCTGTGATTTGTAGTCCTAGGTACTGAGGGGCCAAAGTAGGATTGCTTTGAGCCCAAATATTGGGCTCAAAGCAAGTAAAACACTCCCCAAAGAGGTTGGGGAGCAGACCTTCAGTTTTTCAGAATCTGGTTCGTTAAATGGGAGGTCCTTTCATCTGTAGCAGGATGAACAGCCAGGCCTGGTGACTTTTCTGTTGAGACAGCAGAAGCTCGGGCCAGTAACCTTTCCTAATTGGCCTGGCTGTGTCCTTCATGCCACCAGAGATGTAGATGTGCCCTGTCTTAGCATGGGATGGTGAGCAGCCCTTGAGCAGTTCCTCAGGCAAATGGATCTTGACCGGTGATGTAAAAAGAGCATCCTGTGATTGCCTCCTTGAGGTGTTGAGGACTAGAAGCAGGAGGTTTGCATGATCAGAACCCAGCCATCTGGTCTTGGTCACTTCACATGGGAATTTCCAAAAGAATTGTACAAATGTGAGAATAACTTGAACCAGTATGTTAATAAATGTTCTAGATGAAAAGTGCCCCTCAAAACCCAGTAACTTAATACTAGGGATTCATCATTCTTGACTAGTCCTGATCAGAATCAGAGATTTTCACTTAAACTTCATGGTACTATTTGTGTGTTTTCCCAGAATATAGGAAAGGATATTATGGAATCCAGGTGGCCCTGTCACCTTGCTATAAGCCTCCATCTGGTTCATATAAACAGGAAACGAAATTAAAGCAGGATCCTTCTACTTTAGCCTCTGGAATGCTGGGATAGCAGGTATGTACCACCATGCCCAGCCTTGGTGTGAATTAAAAATAATTTTTGAGACAGGATCTCCCTGTTGCCCCAGCTGATCTGGAACTTACTGTGTAGACCATGCTGGCCTTGATCTCACAGAGATCCACCAGCCTTTGTCCCCCAAGTGCTAGAAAACACTTTGAGGTATTACTTTTTCTTTACATTCACTTCCATAAGATTTCTTTAAAAATTTTTAAAACATTTTTATTATTTGTGTATGTCTCTCTGTGTGTATATGTGTTTATGTATACACACATGTGCACACACATTGGCCTCAGGCATTGCACCTGAGGTGCACTTACATGTTGGCAAAATACTCATACACATAAAAAGAAATTAAAAAAACTTTTAAGTACAAAGAAGAGGCTCAGAAATGGCTCAGTGGTTAAGAGTGCATATTGCTCTTGCAGAGGACCAGAGTCGCCCACTGTTGGGCAGCTTGTACCTGATGGCAACCCTACCTCTAGAGGAATCTGACTCCTCTGGCTCCCCAGGCACTGGCAGTCACATGAAACATCCACACACAGGCCCACATGGGTGCACATAATTAAAGATAGTAAAAAAAATTAAAAAGAAGGAAGTGACAGATTTAGCAGTGGATTTCAATATAGTCAAAATATTTTAATGTAGTCAGTATAAGAAAAATGACAGCTGTCTCTGTTGTGTGCTGTCTTTGAAATCTAGTATGGATTTTACACTTAGGGGGCTTCTCAGTTTGGACCAGCTACAGGTTACGTGTTCACAGCCCCTTCACCTTATCATCCTGTTTGAGCAGCACCCCTGGAGAACACAGCTAAGGTGAGGTGACGAGCAGAGTCCATCAGAGTCCAAACCCATGCATGTAGGGCTCAACCCAAAGCCGAAGGGAACTGGAGCTCTTAGGTTGTCCCCACAGGGAGGCCCTGGTAGCTAAGTGCAGTGTGTGTGAAAGGAAACCTGGGAGCAGTTAGGTGTCACAAGCAAGGCCAAAGTGTCTCTTTCACTGACTCAAGACTAAATTAGGCTGGTGTGATGGCCACACCTTTAATCCCAGCACTCAAGAGACAGAGGCAGGCAGAGCTCTGTGAGTTTGAGGCAGCCTGGTCTACATAGCCAGTTCCAGGCCAGCCAGAGCTACAGTCTCAAAAAAACAAACAAAACAAATTGAAAGGGGCAGAAACAAGTGCATGCCCAAGAGCAATGTCCTATGAGACCTGGTCTTGGTCTTGCCAGAGCAGGGCTGGTGATCTCACCTGGCTTGAGGTATCAGTTTCCTTTTGTGAATGGAACTTGAAGATAAGCAGAAATTTGAC